ATTTCAAAAGGCAGCTCCAGGTTCTTGGTGGCAGAGTCAGTCTTCCTTCTCTGTTCATGTCCCCTGGGGTCTGATGGCCAAGGTGCATGCCAAGGTCCTAGAGCCTTCCTGCAGACTGGATCTCTGTGTTAGTCCAGTGCTCTAAGGAAAAATTGCTCACAATTATGTCTCTGAAGAATGACATCTTAGTGAGCAGGAGGCATGTGTTGCCAATGAGGCCGCAGTTCAAGCACAGTGACTATACCTGGATGAGCTGCTGGTCCAAGGTACTAAGACCTGAACAAGGGCCAGGGCCAAGGAGGCTAAAGGTCAGTTCCCAGGCACCTTTCTCATCCCCGCAGAACCTAGCTAAACCTAATAGCAAACATTTTAAATTAAAGCTAGAGATGCAACTATTAAAAAAAAAAGCTGCTTTAGTTCAAGTTCAATCCCTTGCAAGGTAGTGACCCACATGGAGGGGCAGACCTTTACTATCTCACCCACTGCTCCTCTCAGCAGTGTATTTCAGTCAGTCTTCCTGTTCTGCTCTCCACTGTGTTTCTGGTAAATCCCCCCCACCACTGCATCTCTGGCCTGTACCCCAGTTCTGAATGCATAAATAAATAAATCATTAAAAAATAATATGAATCTTATATGTGATATGTGACTGGTGTCCTTCTACGAAGAGAGTAGAACACAGACACACAGAAGGATAACTATGAGAGGACATAGAGAGAGAAGAGACCAAGGATCAGTTACCTCAAAAGAAATTACCTATTGAAACAAATCTTATGTGATTAATATGTAGATTATTGGAAATTTGCTCCATAAAACTGGTTATAATTAAGGAAATTCCCCCTTTCCAATTGTATTTTCCATAATAAATAAACAGAAAACGCTAAGCTAAGAAGGTGAAGGTAAAGCATAGATGATTTTTATTCTTTTGTAAATCCCATTAGGACATTTAATCCCTCTTGTCCTTATATCCCTAATCTAAAAAAAAAAAAAAAAAGCAATTGGTTGACATGCTAATGAACAGATTTTTCCAAAATGTTACATATATAAGTGCATATTTTTGATACTTTGTTTATGCCTGAAAAATATTACTACACAAATACATCCTTTGAAGAATAGGGAAGCAACCTGCATGTTCATAAATTTGGCCATAGTTATATATTCAGTGAGTAGTATCTCAGGTGACTAAATTGTGCCCCCTCTAAAATTTATGTATTAAAATCCTAATCCCTAGTGCCTTACAATGTGACTGCAGTTGGAGACAAGGTCCTTAAAGAGGTAAATCATTTAAGATGAATCTTAGATCCCTCCCTGACAGCACAATGGGTTAAAGTGCAGCACTAGGAAGCTAGCCACTGCCGCTTCATCTTACTTCATCTCGAATTCAGTCCCCAGCCAGGTAGGTGATCTATATGGTGCAGCAGTGTATTTCATCAATCTGCCTGTTCTGCTCCCCACTCTGTCTCTAGTGAATCCTCCCATACCCCCTGCACCTCTGGCTTGTACCCCAATTCTGTATGCAAAAATAAATAAATCTTTCAAAGATATAGAGTGAATCTTATATGTGACTGGTATCCTTCTAAGAAGAGATTAAGACACAGACACACAGAAGGATAACCGTACGAGGATACAGAAGAGAGGGGTCTTGAGAGAACCCTGCCAACACTTAATCCAGGAACTACAATCTCTGACAAAATGAATTTCTGTTGTTTAAGTTACCCCATATGTGGTACTTTGTTATGGTAGTCCCAGAAAACTAAAACAGAGCTCTCCAAGAGACCAAAAAAGTATGGTAAGGAGAATATGGTGGTGTATGGTGGCCCTCCCTGGTGGCGCAGCAAGTTAAAGCACAGCACTAGAAGCTAAAGCCACTTCAGCATGAGTTCAATCCCCACCCTGGAGGTGACCCACATGGCTGGCAACCTCTCCTAACCAGCCCACTACTCCCCTCAGCAGTGTACTTCGTCAATCTGCCTGTTCTGCTCCCCCCGCCCCCTGTCTCTGGTGAATCTTCTCACCTCCCGCAGTTCTGGTCTATACCCCAGTTCTTGTGTGCAGAAAAAAAAAATTTTTTTTTAAATTAACTATGATTCTGATATGTTCTCATCCTCTCTTTTCAGTTTAGCTCAAGTTTATGCTTTTGAGAAGTATTCTATTCTGAAAGGTGTTCAGAAAGGATATTCAAAGAGATCTTAGAAACTTAAAGATTGTATAGAAATAAGTAAAGGGTTTAAGGAAAATAGCATACTTGATGATTTTTGTGTTCAAAGATAAATGATCTAAAATAAGATTCTCCAGCCCTCTCTGGCATTGAGCCTCAAAACTGAACAGCTCCTTTATGAAAATATCCAAAACAAATTTGCCAAAGGGAAGTAAGGACAAGTGGGATGAGCAGAACTCCACAGCAGGAAGGGCCACCCAGGTGGCTCTGTTCAGAATTCACACACCTGGTCAGTTTTCTCACAGCAAAGGGCAAGACTCAGCAAACACTGTCTGAATGCCTGGTCTGGGAAACAGCAGGTGCTTTCACAACAGATTTCCACATCAAGGCCAATGCATTTCTGGCAGCAATGGAACAAAATCGGACAGGTCTCTCAGTGGCTCTTCTGCATGGGGCAGGGCAGGGCAGCGAAAAGTTAATAAGGCAAAAATAGCTGCTCTGAAGCTGCAGTGGGTGTTAATCAAGCCACCTCCTGAAGAGCAGAAGGTCTGATGTCAAGGATCTTAATTTGCCCCCAAAGCTCTGTTTTTACCTTGATTTAATAATTCTCATTAATGGCAATCTGTTGTCCTTATCTACACAAGGCTCCAGGCTCAGGGTTCTGCTACTCCTGATGGGCTTGCCTTTGGTAGTCCCTCAAGGAGAAAAGCTCCCTAGGAAGGAGAGAGCTTTATTTTTATCCCAGTTAAAGTCCCTACCCAATCCATTAATAGCTAGGATAACCTTGGTCCAGGACATTTCCTGGAAAAGTTATAACCAGTTAGGGTTAATGAACTCTTCCTACCATTAATTCCTGGGAGAGGCCATTGGCCTGAATTGTTACTTAATTACTCTTCTGTGTACAGCTTCATAAAGCAATGAAATGCCTTCTTTCAGGAAGAAGTGAGAGTAATGGGGGTCATCAGAGGCCATTAATTTTACAAATAGTTTGTTAGAAACTACAGCATGTTAAGAAGTCACTCTGGCTCACAAATCAACTCAATGCAGTCCTTATTAAGTTGAGATCCCAAACTCTCAGGTTTCTGTGACTTGCATATACAAACAGTTTCCACTTGTGTAGCATCTGGCCAACATGTACATCCACAGGTATACAGAAGCATAGTCTTTCTAAGGGGTAACTGATCTTATCTTCCTCTCTAACTTCTAAAGTTAGTAGAAAAGTCTCCATGGAGCCAATTCAAGATAGCATGGATTATTCCTACTTAAAACTTCTTTTGGCTAATTTCTCAATCTTTTTGGTAAGTTCTCTTACTTTAGTGTTCCCTTCTTTCCCGGAATAGTGCCAGGTCTAGGAAAAACAAACATGTATTTCAAGTCATGAAGGAGCAGCAGTGGGTCTTCATGCCTCTTCCTGGTGTTGCTAGATTCACTGGCCTTTCAAGATGCCTGCTGACCTGTGCTGCTCAACAATGGACCTTGTTATCGCTCATGTTCATGAGGTCTCTGGACTCTGTGTCTACTTCAGCACAACCCGCCAGATCCAACTGACCGGCTCCAACTGACTCTGCCTCTTAACACATCTATACAAAGTTTGTGAATGCTCAGCTGCTTTCTCTGTACTACCCAGTCGGAAACTGTACCCTGCATTTGTTCTTACTCCTTTCACCCATTTATGTTTTTTCATAACATGTTCCTCCTGGATCACAACAAATATAGTACATTTTACATTGTATTATATTGTGTACATTGTAGCTTGTGTAGCCCCTTCACCCCCTTATAACACACATTCCCCAGAATATAAATTCTATATGACCATAAGGCTTTGTTTGTTTTGTTCATCCTGTCTCCCTGGTGTCGAGCATAAAGTTGTGGTCTATGTCTCAATGGTGTTGAATGAATGAGTAGTTAGTTGACTGCATGATGGGATTAGGCTGGTGATTCAGAATCCCCAAAGTAATTACAATTAATTAGTTTTGCCCTGGATATCAGGCACAGTCTCTTCATACTGTTCAGATATCAGGTCCACTTTACCTCCTGCTGCCAATGTGGAGACATAGCCATTGAAACACATCCACACCTATCTAGGCTTGGACCTCTGTACAGATTATGAGAATCCATCCACCCCACTGTGATATGATGTCCCACCCATCCTATGTCAACAATAGAGTCATGACCCTTTGGAAGGTTCTGAGATTCTATTGAATGAATGGTTCCAGTGAAAAAAGATTAGACTCTTCAAAAGCAAATTGACTAGGGCAGAATCAGGAAGACCACACACATCAGAAGGGAGGTAGAGTTATTGAAGAAATGAAGGAAACCAAAGGACAGAACAAGCCAAATCATTTACTTCTTGTTTTTTTCTGAGCTTTATTTAACTCTAAAGATCTTAATATCTGTATGTTCTTGCACAGGCCATACAGGATTACTTTTCAGGGCAGTTATGTACCTACATCCATGACCATAGAGCCCTAAAGAAAGCAGCTGAGTCTAAAGCAAAACGGGATTTAAGAATAATCAATAACTTCTATTGATTATTATTACCTTGTATAAATTTCCAGATGGTTTCACATTGGTGAACCGTTTCTGAGTAAATCTGTTAGCAGAACCTATATTGAATTTTCTAACATTAGCTCTGTATCCTTCCTGAGGCATAATAAGATCATGGACAGAAGAACCAGAGGGTTGGATTCTGCCATGGCCAAAATATGGAAATTGGTGGGAGGAAATTGGTTAATTCCATTTTATTCCAGTCTCCTGGGGCTCTTGGCTAATTACTTATTACATAAAGATACCCTTTTCCCCAACTGATAAGATACTTCTCTACTGGAATTTTAGGGAATCTACAATGGAAGAACACAAAGAAGATCAGCTAGATTATGAGTAAGTAATCATGACTATGCAAAGTCACGTTCAGGGACCAAAGCATGAGGTAGGTCTACTACTGACTCCTTTCCTCATCTTCCAATCTCCCTAAATCTCCTCCTACTCCCAACCCCAACTGCATTCCACCTAAACACTCCATGCCTTCCTAAAATGCTATTGTAAATCTCCCAACCAAGCCAATACTTCCTATATAGGACTTCTTCACCCCAATCAACTCTCTTTCCTACTCAAAAAGAACTACTCTACCTTACTGGCTTTTCTCAGGTAATCATCTCAAAGACAAAATCATTTATTGACATGCAAGAAAATAATAAAAGCATATTGAGAGCTTTGCATATGCTAGGAATATTATACAGTTACCATTATTTCACTCAAATTTACTAAAAAAAAAAAGATATTTGCATTCCTAAAAGTGAATACTTGGATCATATCTGTGTATGCACAAACAAGTGATTCCTATGGTTGATTCTCAGAAGTGTGTGGCAAACAATGGAGAAATTTTGAGATAGAGGGCTTCAGTCAAAGCTTTTATTGTGCTGGTATACCTCATGTGGCTCTGTGTAATGCCAGGCCTGACTCTTAAGTGATGTGACAAACACCTAGATATAAGTGCTCCATAAAATGCATTGCTTGAGCAGATGTTATGAACATTCTGTCTGGGGAAAAAAAAAATTGCCACAGAAACCATTCTATTCAAAGCAGAGTTTATTTAAAGAAGTAAGGTTTCTCCTGCAACCAGAGTGAGAATACACTTGTATTGAGCACTTCAGACAAAAAAACCTGGAAAAGACCTTTCTAAGTTGAGAATTTCTGAGAAAAAAAAAATTGAAAAACAAGGTCAAGAAATATAATTTCTTAAGAATGAAAAGGGAAAGGTTTGCTCCCAGAAAGAGCCAACTTAATTAATTAAATGTTCTGCTAAATATCCTCATTGATCCAACTACTACTGGTATTAATATAACTGGCCCTTATTTATTTTGGGGGATGTCTATAGGTCAGAAAAAGTGGAAATCTTAAGACTGGCCCAGTCAAAGAAGAACATTAGCAGTTTGAACATGGACCTTGAAAGGGACATGCAGAAAATAGATGAAGCAAATCAGGAACTTCTTCAAAAAATCCACGAGAAAGAAGCTGAGATTCAGAGGTAAAATTTGGGGTTTCATGAGGGACATTTCCAGTCCAAAGGAATGGGTAGGGAAGAGACAAAACTGAATTTTACTGTTTGTACTAGAGAACTCTGTCTTATGTTGCAGTTCAGTTTCTTTTTTATTCTTTGGCATTGCTCTGCGGTTCACACCCTAAAATCTATCAACTTTGGGATTCCTAAAAGATTGAGGGATCCCTCCCTGGTAGCACAATGGGCAAAAGCACAGTGCTATGAAGCTATCCATAACCACTGCAGCATGAGTTCCATCCCTGGCCAGGGAAGTGATCCACATGGTGCGGCAGACCTCTCCTGTCCCACCCGCTGCTCCCCTCAGCAGTTTATTTCAGGCAATCTGATCCCCAATCTGTCTCTGGTGAATCCTTTCACTGCCCCCACATACCTCTGGCCTGTACCCCAGATCTGTATGTATAAATAAATTAATAAAAAAAAAAAACAGAAAGAAAGGACACTGAAGTGTTTGACTTGTAAATCAGATTAGTCCTACTTTTACCTCCTTTAAAACCTTTCTATTTCTAGGGATCCAGGAAACAAGAGTTTCCAACTTGTGAAATATGTGTTTTCTGTCCATGAAGTATCACTAAAGCAATTTATATATTTTATCAGTTCTGAAGCTACCAATCTTCACAGTATATACTTGTGTCATCCAGACTAGAGAGTGAGATCACTCAGACCAAAGATGTGGCAGAAGAAGAAGAGTGGGAGAAGGAGAACTGTACCATGATGGAAAGGGAGAAAGCCTTGCAGGAGCTGGAAGAAGAAACAGACAAACTCGTAAGCAAGAAAAACCAGGAAGAGTCATTGAATAGGTCTTACTCCTCATCTTGTCCCTCAACAGCTACCAGATAGGCTCACCTCACACTTCTATACACAAATAACAACTCAAAGCCATAACAGAATGTGTCCATGCATGGACGGGAACATATGGCGGGCAGGGTTTCTTTGGTAATACTTAGTATCAGGCAGCCCCACATGGGCATCTATATACCTGGTACATCGTGTGTGTTTTGAAGTCAAATAATATGTCCTTTACTTGGCATTATGCAGCAGAGTTAATACAGGAAAATATCATAGAGATGCAATGGAGAACTATCAACTGAAAAAAGGTGGATGGCGGTGTACAGATGCACTGACGGGGTGCTTCTTCTCTCATCAGGAAAGGAAGAATGAGACTCTGGTTCACAGTATAGCAGAACTTCAAAGAAAGGTGGGTGGGGCTTTTTACAGCTCCCAGTGTCCTCACGGCAGCCTCTGATCAAAGAGGCAAAGAAGGGGAAGTGATCAAAAAACGGAGGAATTCACATATGAGAGGTCTTGCTAGGGTGGGTATTACTCTGCATCACTCTCCTGAGGCTGAGACTCATGACCTAGTACTGAAGAAGTTCCTCACAGTCTCAGGTGACAGCTGTAGGTGGAGGTATGAGTGGTCTCACAGGTTCTTCATTGTATCACATGACAATAGATAGTAAAGGAAACACACTACTGATGTGATTAAGTAGGACTTTTGTGAAAAGCAGTTAAGTTTACTTTCAATACATACAAAAATGCTTAATTTCCTTGCCTAGGCATTGCCTCTTACCTTCATTCCCCCTCAGAAAACCACAAGCCCTACTTTCTAACCTGTAGCCCTGAGTAACCCAATATGGGTTAAGCGTTTAGGGTAGTGCTTCTGCTTTGAGCAGACTCTACAATAGCTTTGGTGGCCAAGACTAGTGAAAAAACAATGAAGGTAGAATAAAGATTCTCCAAGGGACCACATATCCCTCAAGGAGCCATCTCCTGGCAGTGTTTATCAATGCTATTATTGGTTCTCATATAGCAGAAAATAACTTTGTACTTTTTGACGTATTTTTCATTTGGAATGTATTTTTTTATTTGAAACTATAGCTCACAAGCAAATCGCAAAAGACAACCAAGTATGATCAAAGCATTCTAAAAGGGACCCCAGAAGAGTCAAAGGTAAGCAAAATATCAGTCTTTAGTGAGTTTGGGTTTTGTGAAGAATAGGATAAATTCTTCAAAAATTTAGCCCATGTCAAGATTAAGCTTAGACCAATGAGTGATGACCTCTCCTTTGTCCTTAGTGAAGAATTCTGTTCTGAAACATGTATTTTGTTCTTTCTTCCATCAGGAATAACAGAACACAAATGCATAAATGTACATGTTACAATGGAGGCAGCTGAATCCCTAGTTGAAATCCTGACCCCAACAATGTTTCATATACGAAGTTGGGCAATATAATCAGTCCTTCCCAAACTTAGCTTGAGAACTGAAAAAAATGGTACATATAAAACATTCTCTTCCATTTTTAAAGGGAAAAATAGTTTTTTCCAGTCTTTATTTTATTTATTTATTTATTTATAATAGTTTTTTTTACATCATTTTGTATATATATTTTTTTATCTCAGTAGTCCTGTGCACTTCCCTCCCCCCCTTCCCCCTCCCCACCCCTGTTTGATCCCATTCCCCACTCCACCCCCACAAAATGTTTCTGGTATATGGCTGTTCATTATTATTAATATTATCTCGCCTGGTCCATTATACTCCTGCTATGAGCGAAACCATCTGGTATTTTTCTCTCTTTTTCTGGGTAATCTCACTAAGCATGATCTTTTCCAGCTCCATCCAGGTTGCAGCTTTTTTTTTTTTTTTTTTTTTTGGCTGCTGAGTAATATTCCATTGTGTATATGTACCACATCTTTTTAATCCAGTCATCTACTTTTGGGCATTTGGGCATTTATATTTTCCAATTGTAAATAAAGCAGCAATAAATATGGGGGTGCAGGTATCTTTTTGAATCAGTGTTTTTGTGTCTTTTGGGTAGATACCTAGGAGTGGGATTGTTGGGTCGTAGGGAACTCCATGTTAAGCAGTTTGAGGAACCTCCAGGGAAAAATAATTTTAAAAAGATTATTTTAAAGTCTGGCTGAAGTGCATATAAATTCAGGAGGAACTAGGATCAGTATGTCGACAATATATTAAGCAATTTACATATACTCTGCCATTAATTCTAATCTGGAAAAAAATTCAACTGATCATTCTAGTATCCAGTGACTTCTACCACTAAGCACTTCATGTAGTACTTTCACTTCTCTAGTTGCATTCTAGAACTAAGAACCTGGAGCAAATCATGAACCATCAGATAAAAGAAGAATTAGACTTATTTTTTCACTGAGAGAGCAGAAAACATTCCCATTTGGCCCCTTCCATAGAACACTTCTTTGTCTCTGTCTTTCCTCATTTCTGTTTAACTTCTTCAACTCACATTTTACTGTGAGTATAAAGTCTCTGAAGAAATAGAAAGCAAAAGAATAGAAAGTTACTCCTCTCCCTTCTGCTGACCTAGTTAGTGCTAGTGACCACAAAATAAAATAAGTAAAGCATGTAGTCTGAAGACACCAAGTAAGCTTGTTTGGCCCTGCTCATCCAGGAAACTTTTCTGGAATGAAAAAATATCTGGAGTCTGGAGTCTGCATGGACATTGAGAAGAAACTGGAGTAAGACTAGAAAAGGGTATGAAGCCCCTTGACTATCTTTGCCATATAATATCAGCAGCAAACAGACTGATTTTCTTCCAAGGTCCCTTCTGCCCAAACTAGATTTTCATGACAGAAATCCCATCAGAATCTAGAGATAAAACTTTAAATGTGGCTATTCTGGCTAGTGTCAGAAGAGCTAATAAATGATAGAATCAACCCAGCCCTTAAAAATCTCAGCAAATTATTCACCTTCAAATCATCTGTTCCCACCCTCCTACCCCCCTGTTCTGTAGAACTCTTAAATGGTATTTCTAGTTCTGCAAAATAAACAGCACCTCTTTTTGCTTCAGTACCTCTCATAAGCTGGTGCTTCAGGTCAGTTTAATGGCTGTCTGCTTCAACTCCTTGTGAAACAGTTGCCTCTGTGGCCCCAGGTGTAACTGACTTGAGGGGAAAGAACAGTTGAAAGAGTCCAGAAGTGAAGTAATGGGACGGTGATCAAAGTGCAAACAGTAGAGCTGAAAAAGGAAGAAGGAAAGATGCAGTCATAACTGTTCTACCTCCAGAATACATCCCGAAGACACCCATTCTTCTCAGCCTGTTGCACTGTTACTGTGACCCTCTAGCAGTGCTCCATTACCATCACTTGAATGCTAAAGTAGCCGCCTCACTAGTCTTCCTGCTTCTATTTCTACTCCCTAACAATGTACTTCCCACACATAGAAAAGACTCTTCCTCACACAAATCAGAGGGTACCTTTACTATTTGAAGTTCTCTTGTGGCTTCTCACTGCAATTAGAATAAAAATCAGATTCTTTCCAGATACCTCAAGAACCCATATAACCTCATCTGTCTACTGTTACTGAGCTCATCCACTTCTGCCAGCCTCCCCTACGTGCCAGCCATGTAACTTTTTCATACATACAAAATGTACCACTTCACAACTTGGCCCTTTGTAACCTCTGCTTGAGATATATTGCTTCTGATTTTCCTATTGACTAATATTTATCATTTCGGTTTCAGCCCAACTATCATCTCATCAGATACCTAAACCATCTTATTTTTATGCCTCACAAGTAGAATGTCAGTTCTGTGAAGCTTCTCAGTCCTTTTGACCATTGTATCCCTGGCACTCCTCCCACCTGCCTCCTCATCACTTCATTAGATATTTAAGGAGGGAAAGAGGGAATAAGAAAAACAAGGAGAGAAAAAGGAATGAAGAGTGACTATATAAAAGGAAAAGGAGGCATGAAGTTTTTCAAGACTGATGTCTTTTCTAAAATAAATAACTAAGTAATGATGAAGCTCAGAATTGAAATGTAGGGGTAAAGGGAACACCTATGAATGCAAAGGGCTGAGCCTGTAGTGCAGGTACAGCAAGCTGCTACTAAGGACACTTGATGGTTTGATTTCTCTATCAAAAAGACATCTGAATTCATACCTGATGCATATTTGAGACTGAATTTCAGAACAGAATCTGTATGGTTTTCAACTTGCTTAGGTACCAATTTTCTTCTCTTTTATAGGTTAAGTTAAAGCAGTTGGAAGCCTCCTGTGCAGACCAAGAGAAGCAGCTGACGAAGGTAAGGAAGGACAGAAGTGGCAATGCTACTTCTTCCAAAGGAAAGGAAACTTACTCCTTGACTAATCTGTTACTCAAGTGACTGAGTTCTAAGGCTCCAGATCCAGGACCATTATGAGGTCAAGGAAGGGATGAAGAAACAGAAGATGGCCCTTATTTTGCCTTCTCTAACATTTTTTTTTACAAGATACATCGTATAACCTATATTTTCCACAAGTTAGTATCTACTCTGCCCCTTACTGCCCTCAAATGGTCCCTAATTGGGAGGAAATAAGTTCATCTGTATAGCAAAAACATATTGAGAACTACTTGAAAATCATTTAGGGTCTAGAAGTAAGACAAAATAAGTAAGTAGACTACAGGCCCTTCCTGGTGGCACAACGGGTTAAAGTGCAGTGCTAGGAAGCTATCTGCAGCCACTGCAGCATGAGTTCCATTTCCATCCAGGGAGGTGACCCACACAGCATGGCAGATCACTCCTGACCCACCTGCTACTCCCCACAGCAGTGTATTTCACTTGATCTGAAATATCAGATTCTGTCCCCAACTCTGTCTCTGGTGAATCCTTGCATTTCTGGCATGAATCCCAGCTCTTATATGCATAAATAAATAAATCTTTATAAAAAAAAAAGTAGACTGATGCTCTTACAGCAATTTACTGAGAAATTTATAATGGAATTCTGGCTTCCCAGGTAATGGAAGACTATGCTTTTGTGGCTCAGCTCTGTGAAGACCAGGCCCTCTGCATAAAGGTATAGCTTCTCACATAGCAAAACATTTGCTAGGGTTCAGGATGAAATGGAACCACTTTTCAAAGAATTCTGTCTAGAACTATTTTAATTCCTCAAAGTGGCACTACAAAGAGTCTTTAGGGTATTAGCACTCCACCACCCTACCATTCTATTACTCCCCTGGTCTCCCCAAAATTCTGTGCTCTTACATTAAGAATGATGCCTTTGCCTATGAATGACTCCAGTTACCCCAGAGTCCTGCCCCTAAAAGTAGGGAGGGATGAAGAGTGGTGGGTGGGGGCTAGAAACAGAGAAAAGTTGAAAGTGGGAATAGTAAACTTTCATGTTAAAATATAATAAAAAGGTGCTTGTCATGGTTATTCAGTAGTTCTCAATATATGATTATTATGAAATATCACAGAGCTTTAAATAGTGACTGTGGGTTTTCTATTTCTCTTGAAGAAGTACCAGGAAACATTGAGGAAAATAGAAGAAGAACTAGAGACTCGGTTCCTTGAGAGAGAAGTGTGAGCTTTGGCAAACAAGGAACATCCTGGTTTTAGTGGTAACTCTATCTCAGCCTGGGTCAGAGCAAACTTTTCTCTGACCAGTTCCTATCTGGACTTGAGTGTGCTCCCTCACCATGTTGCTTTCCCCTCTGTGTTTTGGTAAACATGCACTGTGCCATAACAAGTTTAAAAATCCAGGTTCTCATCCAGTTCTTCTGAAAAAGACTGCAGAAATAGACCTTCCCTCAGAATTTTATCACACTATCAATTATTCAAAGTTATACCAAGGGCAGGGACATGTCCTTTAAAGGAGCCAGTGGTCAGGTACCTTTGATAAGTACAATATTCCTTATATTTCCCAGGAAAGGTCTTAAAACAAATTCCCCAAATATACAGAGATTTTAGCCGTATTTGGTAAGTATCGAATTAATCTCTAGACACACACTAAAGCAATTGTATTATGAAACTTGGAAAGGTATATTGTATTGAACCATAAACATTAAAAATTAGAAGTGATAAGTAAGGGGAGAGCCCCCCAAATATTCTGAATTTGTCAGCTTAAATGATGAGAAATTTCATTTCCATTTCTTGCCCCTATTTATAAATTAAATCTCAGTTCAGTCAAGATATAGTTCTATGTATTAACTATCTTTAAATCATGTAATCAAGAGCAAAAGATCCAAACTTGTACAGCCTCTAAATTAGGCTAAGCATATATTGTGGCCAGGGTGGGCAAGGGTACCAGGACTTGGAGGTTCTCAGCCCAAAATGATACTTTTAACTTTTCCCAGATCTTTCCTATTCAGATATGGCTTTACTGCTAAACTAAGATTCTAGAACAAGGCTGACCATAGAAGTTTCTGTGTTGTCCAATAGGTATACATAGTTAATATAACTGAAGAATGGATTTTTATTTTAATTAATTTTTGACCATAAATAGTTACCTATAGCTGTTGGCTACAACAGTGGACAACATAGCTTTAGAAAATAAAGCTATTTTTGATAACCATCATGCAGTGGGGATATTTGAGTGCAGTTTATTCAATCCCAATCTTGGCCCCTCTCCCCTTAGGTCAAAAGTTAGAAGCATGGATTCTGCAAGAAATAGCTGTAAGAGCCAAAATAACAAGGTAAGCATTCCATCTTTCATGTCACTAGTGGCATTGCTTTTCAAAAGAAATTTCAAAAGCTATAAGCTACCAAGCATATACCAACCCTCCATATGAATTTCCAAAAAAATCACTAAATCTACTTCCAAAGTATACCTACCCTAAACTAACAAAAAGGACACTAAGGAACAACTGTCTTCCCTCTCTTACAGTCATGCAAATGACAAGTTCCCACAGAGGTCTGGCCTCAGACATAAAAGGTTTCAGAATGAAAGCAAGGAGGAACATTAACTGGAGTTTCACTCTTTGGAGAGGAGCGAAAGTTCATGTATATCTCTCTCCCATCTGCTACGGTCACAAGAACTCTTTCCTGATGATCCCAATATAGTCTTACATGTTTCCTGACATAGATCAGAGTCATTGATTATCATCTCATCAGAATTAGTCCATTAACTAAAAGATAGGAAGCCATTGCTGCTTTATGCGACAGCTTCAGTGTTGGTTCATATTCAATCATGATGTCACAAACCATATGCAAGGTCTGAAAGAAACAGAACTAGATGTAAGGCACTAGGCCTCTTGACTTGGAATCTTATGTCAACAAGAACTAGAACTAAAGAATACATTTTTGTTGGGATATAATTTTGCAATTATATTGGCTTTAGAGTTAAGGTTGACATTCACCAGAAATTTTGTATTATTGACAGAAATGGTCTTCATAATCTTAGAAAAGAGAAATAATCTGTTCCTTCAAAGCAAATAACAACTGACTGTTGTTCTCATGATCACATCACAGTCCCCATGGTTCCTCAGGTGTGAGCTGTGTGAGGGTAATATTCTAGCCCCAACTTTGCATAATCCACTCAGCCAACAAAACTGAAATTAACTGGATTCTATCTCTCTAGAATCAGGTGTGCTTCTATCTATTCTCAGTGACTCATCAAAGTAAACCTTTTGACCTCCTACCATAGAAAGACAGAGGTGCCTTCCTCAATATTATTAGTCTCATCATGATTCATTGAACTACAACGTTTGAGAAACTTTTATAAAGAGGCTGCCTAAGCAACTGTCTAGTTGTTCATTCAAGCTATAGGATCAAATTTGTAATCCCGAAAATTTCTAATTCTACAAGTGAGATTTTGTGAATCTCACTTCCAAAGTTATAAAATATAATCATGATTTCTCTTTTTTTAATCTCACAAAGAGATTAAAAAGAAAATGAAATAATTAAGAAACTACTTTGGAAGAGACATGCTATAGAAATCTAGGATACATCCTCATCTTCACATTTTCATGATTTTAAAAATTAGAATATGTTCATGTAGTTTTCATAGCCTGTAAACTTCTTAAGTAGCAGATGTCTATCCTTAAGCTGTCTAAGTAGCAGATAAGGATAGGTTGAGAGAGTCTGGAACGTGGATTCACAGCACCTGGTTTTCAGGCTTGACCCTGACAGTTACTAGGTATGATCTTGGGAATATACGATAAGATAAGATTTTAATAAGACTTGTTATGTAATAATAAAGTTCTAACAGTAATGTTAGATAAATAAGTATCTAATGATTAGCTCACTGTATATTATTGGACAATAAGGATAGCTTCAGAAATTGTTTATTTACCAGTGTCCTTCTTCTCCCAGAATACTTCTTTCCTGAAGAAGATAGCACTATTCTATAAAAGGTAAACAAAGCCATGAGTGCTACTTAGCCACCTTAGCAGCTCTTTGTCACTAGACAAAGAGAAGCTTCTACACACATATTCACACAAACACATACATACCCACACAGTCAGAAAACTAGAAGCATCAGTGAGCTTGCCAACCTTGTTAAGATATCAGCACATTACGCATCTGACCTTAAACAATAATAGGTGAGAACTTCTAAGTGCAAATATACCACTACCTAGCAGTAGATAAATAACAGGGAGAAAATGATTGTGAAGAAAGAGAGATGATGGTACCTAACAGTATTCAGCATATAATTTCCAAAAACTACTTGTTAAACTGAACAAGAACTCAAGATTCAAACAACAGAATGGATATTAGTCCTCGGGGGAATCACTATAACAGCAAAGTAAAATTGGTATTCATGAAACCCCTGCATTTTCAAGAAAAGGTCAAATTATATTCAATGTAATCTGTTTAAAAAGGCATAGAGAAATATATATTCAAAGTGATATGAAATATGATTTAGAAAGAATTCCATCAAAATGCTTACTATAAAATTATTGGTGCTTAAAGGTCAGCTTCAATTGTCTGAAAATTTTGCCTAACAGGGATATCCCCTCATACCAGACAAATGCAGTATTACATGTTTTGACATAGTTTAATATAATACCATTAAGCAACTAGCAGGACCTTTCCCAGAACTCCTAGGCTGTTTTCTTCTATCAGTGCTCAGCATGATCCTGTCCATGGGGTCTCATAGAATCAGAACTGTCTGCTTTAATGGGTGGTTTGGTAGAGGGTATGTAGAAACATACACATATGGAAGAACAAAATGTAAGCACAAAAATTAAAATAACATTTTATAAAAAAGAATGATGTGACTTAGTGAGGGTTATACTGAAGACAAATACATTCTGCAGTCTAGCTCATCACATTAAACTGCACATCTTTCTTTTTCTTTTTCAATTTCCCATAGGACATTGTACACTGGGCTTATCACTCTCTGGTCTCACTTCTCTCTCTGATTCAAGAGATAAGAAAGTAAAGTCACTCCTAAGATTTTCACCAGGAATATCATCCCGGAGAATTTTCTCAGGAGTATTATGTCTTAGTTCAAGGAGAGTAGTGGGAAGAGGTCTATGAAGGGCTACTGATTTAATTCTGCCAAAGACGCTATATTAGAATGGTTCTTGGCTCCTTTCCCAAAATCAACTCTAAAAGAAAACTTAAGAAAGTTGGCAATGAGGCTGTTTTTTAACTAGTAAATATAGGTTGACAATGAGTTTGCCCTGGGGCAGGAGGTTGCTCAGAAGAGTTGAATAAACTTAATATAAGAAGGGAGACAGTGAAAATTCCTCATGTAAATCACATAAAAGCCACAGGGAATAAACAACTCATCAGTTAAAGAAGAAATCAAGATGACCATAGGGAAATACCAAAATTTATTTAAAAGTATTAATGATAATATGAATGAAAGAAGAGAAATACCATGATCATGGATAGGAAGCCTTCAAATAATTGATATATCAATTATCACCAAGTGATTAATAGAATCAATTCAATTCTAATCAAACTCCCCGAATATTTTTCATGGAGTTGAATAAAATGACTCTAAAGCTGAAGTATAAAGGGCCAAGAAAAACCTGAACAATTTTAAAGAAAAACAAGAAGTGGAAAATATGCCCTTCCAGATATCAGGAAGCTATAGTAATTATAATAGTGTAGTACTGGTACAGAAATGAGAAAATCAATCAGTGGAATGGAACAGAGTCCCAAAACAGTACACACATAAAAATTTGATATGTGACAGTAATTTGATGTCAGAGAGTAAAGAAAGAATTTCTCAAAAACTACAGCAGGAAAAAAAATGAAATTAGAATACATTAGAAGAAAATGATATACAAATATACAAAAAGCAAGCTTAGTTGTGTTAAGGACTTAAACGTGAAAAAAAGAAAAATCTTAAACACATTGTGCAAAAATTAATAATGATGTAAATACACACACACACACACACA